CTGCTTCTCCCTCTCCCTCTGCCTGCCACTCTGCCTATTTGTGCTCTCTCTCTGTCAAATAAGTAAATAAAATCTTAAAAAAAAAAAGTTTTAGTCTAAGTTTTCAAATGAATTGTGGGTCAAAACTGCCCCCCCCCACTCTTTTTAATAACCATGTGGGTCTTCTTTTAAGTACACTGGATTCAAGAGGGTGGGTAACGGTGCCCGCCTCGTGGGGGCATGGTTTTGTGTCCGCCAACCTGGATCCTGCTGCTTACGGTGCTTCTCCCTTAGCTGTTCTAGGAGCTAGTGAAAACAGGGGGTGCTGAGACATGGGGCTCGGGTACCCTGTGGCCCCTTGAAGGGGCAGAAACCAATGCCCATTCCCAGCTCCCCTCCTCTGGGCCCCCATTTCCGTGGCATGACCCGTCCCCGCAGCCCCACCTGTGTAGCAGATGGCGTCGTAGTGGGACGAGGGGTCCGGGTAGCCCGTCTGGTTGGCGTGCAGGTAGACGGTCCGCACGCCCAGGAGGTTGCCCCCGCAGTTGGGCCGGGCCTTGGAGATGGGGTAGCGCACGCTGCGGTCAGCCAGCCAGCCAGCGCTGCACATGTCCATGCCGCCCTGCCAGGCCAGGTAGAGCTGGCCCGTGGTGGCCAGCCGCGCGCCCAGCCGCCGGCACTCGTCGGCCGCCTCCTGGAAGGTGAACTTCTCCGGAGATGTCGCGTAGAAGACCTCGCCTGTGAAGGACAGGGCCGGCAGGGTGAGGAGCTCTCTCGCCGCTCCTGTCCTGCATCCCCAGGGAATCCATGCGGCTCCTAGGCTCCAAAGCGTCCTGGCTCGCGCCCTGCTCTGAAACATCCCCCCTCCCAGGGCATCTTTCCTAGGAGTTAAGCATTGCCCATGCAAGCAATCCTTTAACAAAATTCAAGTTGTGATGGGAAGAGTAGGCATTAGACTTTGACCCTCAGAGCAGTGGTTCCCAAACCAGGGTCCATAAGGGCCTTGTGAGCTCTTTTTACTATTTCCACAAACCTAAGCATGTTGTGTGTGTGTGTGCGGGGGTAGGGGTGGGTGGTGGGCACCTGTTTCTGGGGAGGCCCTGGCTGTCCCCGCTCAGTGGCAGCTCTGATTGGCCGTGTCTTCGGTGAGCCAAGAATGGGAACACAAATACTTGCTCTTTAATAGGCCCTGGGCCCAGGGGTGAGAATGAGGAAAGGGAGCCTGGGGGTGAGAAAGCAGGGGACTGTCCCAGTCTCAGAATGAGCCATGTCCTCAGGTCTTATCTCCAGCCTGGGGGAAGCTTTGAACTTGGGTGGGGGCAGAGGCGGCAGAGCCTGGAATGTCAAGAGGAGTGATGGGTGCAGATGGGAGGAGGGGTGTCATCCACATGCCCGGGGAATTCGGGAAGCTCTGCTTGTGATCAAAATTAGCACCCCACACAAAGCAGAGAAAGACTCCGGGTTCCTTCCCACCACCGCCGAGGCTCTCCAGAACTGGCCCATTGGGACAGCCTGGATGGCGCTGGGGGCTGGCGGCAGGCGGCAGGGAAGCTAGAGAGGGTAGAAAGGCAGCTGGCTTTCCTGGGAAGGACATTCCTGATGGGCCCACCCTAGAGTGGCCTGGGCTGTCCTTTGTGAGGGTGACAAGCCTGGGCTGGGCTTTACTGGTGCAGTGACCCTTGGGACAGTGATGGGCTGGTCAGAGCAGCAGGGGATCCTGGCTGGGAGGGGCAGTCCCAGCAGAGAGACAGAGACAAGCATTCTTGGGCCCCGTAGTGGTGCCAGACAGTTGGCAGGTGCCCGCGGCTACTGAGGCTCTTTCCAAAGTGGGGAGGGAGGGGATCTGTGGGCCCCTTCCTTCCCCCCGCCTTCCCCCTACCCTCTCTGGGCATGGCAGAGAGGGGTCTGGTGTGTGCTGCCCTGGGTTCGTGCTCTGCCCCAGAGGAGGCCCACGTGATCCCTGGCGTCAGTGGGAGAAGGGGACAGACAGGGGTCTTGGGAAGGGGGCGGCGGGGCCTCACCCTCCATCTCCTCAGCGAAGCAGTAGACATCATAGGTCTCATTGGTGTCGCGGATGCCGTAGGTCCTCACGCCTGGAAACTCATCCTTGTCCCCATAGCAGCCTTCCCTCGGAGTGTGGATGGGGTACCTGCCAGGAACACAGAGGGAGTGTCGTGTGACACTCAGGGGACAGAAGGGGCCCGTGGCCTGGGCCCTGGTATCCTCCTCCCATGTGGGAGGAAACGGGGACTCACTGATGTGTTTACCAGCCTCTGCCCTGGATATGTGGACTGTTTGTCTTTACGGCTTTTCTTCCCCAAGCGTTATTGAGATACATGTTTTCACAGTTACCGGTGATTACAGGCAACCCCATTTGCTGAATATTTATCGGAACAGAACATCCAGGGCCTGGAAACCTTCTCTGTAGAAAGGCCAGATAGTAAATATTTTAGGTCTTGTGGCCCCTAGGGTCTCATCTTGACCCCTCAACTTTGCCACTGTAGTGTGAAACAACCAGAGTTCCCACACGACTTTACGTACGGAAACAAGGGTGGGTTGGATTTGGCCCGTGGGCCACCATTTGCTGACCCCTGCTTTGTATCATTTGAGTCTCACGTCCACCTGATGAGGCAAGTGCTAGAAACACTCCATTTTAACCTGGAAGAAACTGGGGCCCAGAGACGTTAAGCAATTAGCCCAAGGTCACACAGTTTCTAAGTGTCAGAGCTGCGGTGGGAGCCCAGCTCTTTCCAAGGCCGTGGTGCGGGCTCTCGCACTATGCTAGGCTGCTGTCTTGTCTTGTTTCCTGTTGGTGGTATTTGTGTCCTAAGATCTGAAAGATCTACCCCAAGATCGCAAAGGTATTTTCCTTTGTTTTCTTCTGGAGGCTTTGCGGTTCTGGCTTTTCCATTCAGAGCTTTGATCCACCCTGAATGAATATCTCATCTTTGCCTCGACAGGCTTGCTGTCACGGACTGAGATCCCTCGAGGGCAGAGCTCTGTCTGTCCCGCTGGGCTCCCCATCCCGCCACAGCTGCACTCAGGGAAAAAGGCGCCAAAAAGCTTAATTTATGCCTTGCCTTATTAAAAACAACAACAAAAAAAGGCAGGCGGTTTACAAAAATACACAAAACACCAAAGCTTCAAGAAACTGAAGAAATCATGGCAAAGGGGAACAGGGGTAGGAAGGGTAATGATGTGTAATTTGCTCATGTAGGGCAAAGTTGCTAGCAGCTGTTCATTCTGCCACAGGGCGGAATGACAGGGATCTGGACAGGTCATGAGACTTCTATCAGCAGGGCCACCAGACATTCCAGAATGTGTCCGGCCCCCCCACAACCCGCCCCGGGAGCTCCTGTCTGAGATGGTCTGGGACAAGGGGCACATTTGCTTTATTGCTCATGCTGCATCTTTAAATGAATACAATAAGCCCCTTTTTTACAAAGTAAGGCACAGAAAGGCCTTCTGTGCAAGTTCTGTATTATTTTAAAATTCCTAGCGGCTACTAAAAGTATTTCCCCTGGAGCACTGGAGCTTTCTAGAAAAGCACGTGATGAATTTTTTTGCACGCAGAATACCTGACAGAGCATTCTATCTTTCCTCATAGCGCAACCGGACGGTCCCAAATCAAACGTTTGCTTCTGAATAACGACATAAGGATTGTTAGAGTCGGCCAAGGCATTGCTCCAGCCCCAGCCCAGGCTGGCCTGGTGTTCTAGCCCATCGCCCGCCCCCCTCTGCGTGGCCCGGGGGCTCACCTGACAGTCTGGTCGGCCAGCCAGCCGGCGTCACACTGGTGGAAGCCATCCTCGTAGGCGGCCTGTAACTGTTCAGGGCTAGCAATGACGGCACTGTTCTGCAGGCAGGCCCGCTGTGCCCTGTCGAAGTCCAGCGTGTAGCGCGTGGAGATGGCTCTGTAATGGAACACAAGGCCTGCAAGACACGCGCGGGCGGGAGAGCGGATCAGGCACAGCCTCCCGTCTTCGAAGTCCTCGAAGAATTATGGCTATGGTCAAAGGGGCCTTAGGGACCTCAGGTCTGGGCCTCTAGCTGATGCACAGATCTCCTCCCCACATTCGCGTGTGGTCCTTCTGCCTTTGCTGAAATACCTCCAGTGATGGGGACCTCACTACCTCACAGAGTATCTGTTTTGGATTTCTCTGATAATCAGAAAGTTCTTTGAATTGAACTAAAATCTGCCTCCTTTTACTTTTTTCTTGGCACTCCTGGGCCCCATATTTTCTTCAGGGAAAGAGACACTTAGAGCCCCATGTATCCTCAGCCCAGGGGCATCCTAGTGGGAATCCTGTCCTCAAGCCAACCAAGGACACAACCATTCTCCTTGGGCCATCGAGAGAAAGGGAACCAGGGAGACTTCGTCCCTTTCTCTGGCTCCTGGAGCTGAGAGTGGGGCTGGGGTGGGAGGTGGGGCAGGGAAAAGACATCCGGATGAAGAGTCAGGAGACTGCTCTGGTTCGCTTCCAGGGAAACTTCAGGCAGATCACCTAGCCTCAGTTTGCTTATCTGTAAAATGGGGATGATCACAAGGCCCACAGGGTCATGGGATTGCAGCAAATCACAAACTTTCATTTGCATGTGACGATGGCCAGGACGTTTTTAAATCCCTCAAAGTCCAGAGACAATGACAGTCCCAGCTCCATGTTATAGAGGCACAACTGAAGCTAAGTGACCTGACTCAGGTGGGTGCAAGCCAGTGGGGGAGGAGCTGGGATTTGAAAACCAGCCTGCCTTCGTCCAGTCCCGTGACGATACCCTTCTGGTTCTTTCCCCAGGTGAAGCAGTGTCCCTGTGGGAGGTTCTCACCTTTCACCACGACCTCTAGGGTAGCCTCGCTGTCCTCAATGCCGTGCATAACCTCACAGCGGTAGATCCCAGAGTCATTGGAGCGAACGTTCTGGATTTCCAAGGTGGCATCACTGGGGATGGCCGGGTAGTTGGGCAGTGAGACCTTGTCTTGGTAGGCATTGTTGACCCGCACCTGCCCTTCTGTGGCTACGAGCAGTACCACCTCCTTCTCCTTGGAAATGCGGCTCCACTTGATTCTCGGGGCAAGGGGGGCGGTGGAGGGGGCGGTGGTCACAGGGTGCATGGGGTCGATGAAGTAGCAGGGGATGGTGAGGGAGCTCCCCAGGAGGACCCGCAGAGGGGACGGTTCAGGGATGCTGACACTCAGCGAGTTGTCAGGGTCTGTGGGGCAGAGACAGAACTGTTAGTGCCTGGACCACCACCCAGCCTCCCTGTCAGTCCTTCTGGAAATGACAAAATCCTGTGAGTGCGTCTGTATTTACTGGGGGGGGGGGGGCGCTCTTGTACCACCTGGAATTCCCAGGAAGCTTTGCAACGCCTTTTCCAGAGCAGCATTCCTCAAGACCCCTGGTCTCTGCACCTCAAGACTGGAAAAGGGTTGCGGAGGTGGGCAAGGAAAACTTTAGAGCTGAGATCCCCCTGTTTCTCAAACTGGGGTACCCCAGGGGATACCAAGCCATAAGAGAAACAGGACCCATCTTCCTGGAGTGACAGCTTGACACCAAGATTTTGGGAAAAATCACTTTCAGGCAGGAAAAATTGTGATGAGGAAGAAAAAAAAAATCCACATGATGTTTAAAGCTCAGATGCAAAACGACACAGACGTGTCCCACTTGAGGTCTGCTTTGGACTCCATCCTATCTTTGCTCAGGGACAAGGCATTCTCTCCCGCTGTTGGGGACTCAGGGGTGGGGGGCTGGCTGGAGAAGAGCAGACATTCACGTACGTCCGCAGAAAGTCAGACAGGGGTGGGGGTTGGCCGTGGGATATGATTAGCTCCACAAAACATCATGGAGAGTATTGGTAGGGAAGATGCAGCATGTTTACCAAATCCAGTTAGACGTAACTGTCCTTCCCCTGGAATGGGAAAGAAACAGCTTCTGCAAAAATTGCATCTTTCACAGCAGGTCACGCACTTATGGGACCCCTTTTTTTTTTCCAGGTTGAAAATAAAAATGTTTCAGGTATTTGTAGGTGGTAGATACATAACAGGGCAACGAAGGGGGAGCCAGGAATGTTTGGGGGGGTCCAGCCCTAACCTTTGATGTCCTGGGCAGCCACTACTAGGTCCTTCCACAAAAATCTCCCTCTGAATGCTCTGCCCTTGCCCCACAACACAGCGTGGTTTTAGAGCTGGCTGTTCTCCGGTTCCCCAGGGAGAGCTAAAAGTGACTGCAGTACCCAATGCTGCAATTTTTAAAGCTCTCAACCAGCCCTACGAACTGGTTTGCCTATGTAGGCAAACCACCCAGGTTACAGCCAGGGGCTGGATATTTGTGGGTCCTTGGGCGAGAGTACAGATGGAGACCCATATATCCTATGTATAAATATTTAAAAGTTATAAATCAAGTCCACAGAATGTTAACTAAAATATGTTCTATCTTCCTATTTGACAATGATACCTTTCAAAATGAAAAGCCAGATTCAAATTTAGAATTCTTGGATTCCTTAGAGTTTCGCATTGGGCTCTGGTGGCCAAGCAGGAGGCCGCCTCTTCTCTGCCAGTTCTCTGTACCGTGAGGGGTCTGTGCTTATCCCAGCCCTCACACCCCAGCTCTGTCCACACCCCACACAAACAGCCACCCCTTGACCTCTCCCTTAGGCCTGGGGCGGCTCTCACCAAGAGCATGGTCCCCTGTCTTGGAGGATGGGCCCTGGAAGTGGCTTGGATCCACTTGGGCAGGGAATTTTGGGCATCCTGGATATCCAGAGTGTGGTCTAAAGGGAGAGCATAGATCTGTGTGGACATGTCCCTACAGACCCCTTGAACTTTAAGGAGCACTGGGGCTGGAGGAGGGCCAGAGGGAAGCCTCTAGAGTGCATGGCCCAGAGCAAAACCCATCCTGCAGCCAGTGGATAGTTTGCCCATTTGATTGAGGGCTCGATGATCAGAAACCCAACCTCGTGCCTGCCATATGCGAGAGACCACGCGGGGTCTTCCCGAGGACGGCTTGCCAAGAAAAACAAAGACCTGTGTGATGTGTTGGGGACTTCTTTCTGTTTCTCAAGGAATGGTCTCTTCTTTGATGTTCCAGCTGATCCTCCCTTGGCAGCTTTTCCTCTTTTGGCTTACCTATAATCCTGCCCCAACCCCAAGCTCAGTGTGTGGCGGTTTTGGGTAGGATCCATAGAGAGGAGATGGGAAGACGGGCGCCTGCCAGGAGCGCTCCCCCTCAGCTGTCCATCCGAGAGGGTGGCCGGGAGCAGGATTACGTGAGCAAGGGCTCCCGGATGCGTGCGTGTGCGTGTGCGTGTGTGCGTTCAGACGCATGGGCGCTCTCCCCTTGCGGCTAGGCTTGCCTTCGATAGAAAAGGGGCAGGCAGGGCCAGGAAAAGGTCAGGAAAGGGGAGATTAAGTCCCTGGGAGCAGCAGTACTAAGTTCAGGACCCAGGACCCAGAATCCAGTCTTCTGTGGCTGCTGGATACATGAGACACGCATGGCGGTGTCCTTACCCGAAGCTTCTAGTGAGCTGGCTGCTGTGATGACCCTCAGAGTCACAAACACCAGGAGTAAAGTGGTCATAGTTCACCTGGAAGAAGAGAGGGAGAGGGGTTAGTTGGAGGTTCAGATACGGGGAGATTGAGGGTCACGTGGCACACGACACAAGGTGATCAATTCCACGCGCAAGGATCTGAAATCACATCAAGATAAGGCGGCTGCGTGTGGTTCGAGGGGTGTCTCCTCCAAGAATCCTCTCTTCATAAAGTCTTCACAGATTTCTCAGTTTAATTACACGAGTAGGCTGGAAACCTCCTCCCGTCTCTTCTAGGGCACTTCCCAGCTTCTAACCTGTAGAGGCTCGTTCTGAAGGATCCCTGTGATGGCTGATATTATGTCAACTTGACTGGACCCTGGGCTGCTCAGATATTTGTTCAAACATTATTCTGGGTGCGTCTGTGAGGGTGTTTTTGGATGAGGTGAACATTTAAGTTGGTAGACTAAGTAAAGCAGATTGCCCTGATAATGTGGGTGGGCCTCATCCAATCAGTTGAGGGCATGAATAAAACAAAAAGACTGGACCGCCCCCAGGAGAGAGATAATTCCTCCTGCCTGATGACCTTCAAATTGCCTTCAGATTTGAACTGAAACATTGGCTCTTACACCTCCAGAATCATGTGAGCCAGTTCCTTACAGTGAATCTCTTTTTCTATAGACCCACACATCCAACTGATTCTGTCTCTTTGGAGAAGTCTACTATAATCCCCCCAGGCCCGGAGAAATGAAATGAGTTAGCCAACCTCCCTGATGGAATCCAGGCCTGCCCCCAACTTCTAATGTGGGAATCTTGTGTGTTTTTAGGATGAAGAATGCTCCAAGCTTTCGAACACAATTCACAGGGGCCCGGTTCAGGCCAGGGGAAGGATGCCCATCCAAAGAGCTCTTGCGGAGGCTCTGAGATGGACAGATTAATCATGGAGGAGAGCAGTGAGAACCCAGGACCCCCGGAGCCCTCTTACTGGCCCAAACAATGACTTCATGTGAAGCAGAAAAGACTTCCTTATTGTTATCTGCTGTAAAACTGTCAGGCCACGTTTACAAATACATGACAACCACAACACAAAGGCCTTCCCTGCACAACTGGGCCCCTGACTCCAAGTGGGCCACTGCAGGTAGACCCCAAAAAGACCCCATTAAATTTACAAGAGGTCAACCAGAACAGTGGTCGTCGACCTTGGCTGTATGTGGAAATCACCTGGGCTTCAGCCCGGTCTTCAGACATTTTAAAAGCTCCCTAGAAGGTTCAAATGTGCGGCCAAGATGGAGCACCACCAGCTAGAGGGTATGCAGTCCCGAGGCAGACACCTGTGGCTGGTACCCCATGACAGGTGCCCAACGATGTTTCCTGAATTGCTCTGTTGGTGGGAGCTGCACCCTCCTCTCAAGTCTGGGAGCATTTTGTCTTGGTTTAAGAAGCGTCTGCATCACAGATGCTCCTTGGTGGGGAGGGAGGCGGAGGGGATGGAGGACCTGAAACTAAAGACAAGCATGGAGCTTTGGGAGGCTGGGACAGCGCCCCGCCCCCCCCCCCCCAGATGAATGCCATGGGGAGGGACATCCGGGTCCAGCTGGCAACTCACAAAGAGTTATTGTCCCTGTATGTCTGCCCCCCCGTCTGATGGCCCAGCAGGTGTCGCTGTTGGCTCAGCCACCATGGGGTGTGTGTGGGGGGGGGAGCTCCTGGGCTCTCTTCCCAGGAAGGCATGGGGGAGGGACAGGCGGGGCCCAGGACTCCGGGGAACCCTTTTGGGTTGACCTGGCCTGTTGTTTTGAGTGACCTTTCTTTCCATCACTGTCATTCATGCCACATACGTTGGTCACCTGAGAGCTTGAAGGGCTGTCAGTGTGGGCCCTGTTCAGGGGACAGAGATGAGCGCGTGAGGCGTGTTCCCCTCACACCAGAGGACGTCTGGAAAATCCCAAAGGCCTAACAAGCAGTCCCTTGCTTCTCCTCAGAGATTTTTCTCCTTCAATGCTGCCTTCAATCTCTGGGGTTCCAGGTCCTGGCACCCTGAGGGGCCGCTGACTTGTGGCACTCTCCTTCAGGCCCAGCGTGACCAGTTGCGGGGGAAATAGTCCCCCGGAGGCTAGAAGGGTAAGGTGTCCCCTCCTGTCTGGGGAGGGGGCTAGACTTGCGGGCTCCTCTCTTCCCAGAGGCTCAGGGATACTGTGTCCAGACACAGGGCCCGCCTGTTCTTCTTCCCTCAGAACACCCTCCACTGGGACGTTCTGTGTATGTTTTCGGAGGTGTGTTTCTTCCTGAACTCTGTGAACAAGCCCGCCATTGTCCGGGATGCAGTGCCTCTCTGTGGGGCTGGGGCCCGCTCTGTTCTTCTCCCTGGCCTCCACAGGGAATGGAAAGGGCAGGGGTTTGGGGTAGGGGTGGACTGGGCAGAGAAACTAATTTTATTTCTTCTTCTTTTTTTAAGACAAACTTTGGGATAGAAACGTCGCAATAAATATGCTCTTGTGTTTGTGTGTTCTCAGCTGTAAAGAAAATAGGGAGAAATACCATTCTGTCCAGCTTCCAAGTGTCTCCAGGACTCACTGAGTCTTTTATGGGAGGAGAAGGACTCTGCCAGCCCGTCAACAGGGAGGCCTTTCTCCATGGGAAGAACTTCGAGGTGGTGGTGAGGGGACGGGGCTGGGGCAGAGGAAGGGGACTGGGGTGTCCAGAATGAAGTGAAATGAGGAGTTGAGGGGAGCAGGATGGGAAAGCTGGATGAAGGCTGGGAGATGAGGGGTTCTGTGTGCGGTTGGGTTGGTCACCAAGGAACTGGCTTTCTCAGGAGAGAAGTACTAGGAGACCTGACAGGGGAAAGTAAGCTTAGTAGAGCTTTTGAACTGAGCTGAGGGTGTGTGTGTGTGTGTGTGTGTGTGTGTGTGTATGCACGTGTGCATGCCCCATAGTTGGAGATAGGGAAACCCTCCACGTTCTCATCAGCTAGACTCTGTCTCGCGGTTGCCAACCCAGCCAGGGCCTTAGCCTCTACTCCACCAAACTAAGAGACTGGACGGGCAGCTCACCCCCTTGCCTTGAATCCCTCTTCCAGCAACATGCAGTGGAGACCCCCAGACCTGAGACACCCCCTCCGCCGCCAGACCGGAGACCCCCAGTCCAGGTCCTGGCTTGGCCACCTACTACTTTAATAACCCCAGGACCCACCCCCATGGCTGTTTCAAGACTGAGTGCCAGACTGACTCCCCTGTCCGGGGCGGGAACTGTGTCTCTGGCTTGGAGACTGGCACAGGGTCTGGCACTCGGCAGGTGGTCATCAGCACCACCCCCCACGTCCCTGGCAGCAGGATGGGGTGAGCCTCTCGAGATATGCGGACCGGAAGAGGGGCCAGCAGCTGGGGTTTTAAAGCCATGACCTCCCTGCCGGGGATCCTGTCCACATGGCCGAGGCAGGTGGTCTTCAGTCTCTGCCTAGGAGGGGCCCCTTCCTTTCACAAGGCGGCTCATGCCGTGGCTGGGCAGCTGGGATGGCGCTCAACATCTTCCAAGCTGGGGTCCGATGACCCACCCCCATTATAATTTCCACCCCAGAGCTCCTCCCTCAAGGACCACACTAAACGTGTCCACTCCTCTTTCAAGGGACTCATGACAGATCTCCAAGAGTCCCATCTGCTCTCCCGTCTGCTCTTCTCCCACAGAGCTGCCCGTTCCTTCAACTCTCCTTCCTGTGCCTTCCAGACCTCGCCTCCCTTCCTAGAGCCACAGAAGCTCAGAGCTTGAATAGACATTAGTGAATGGCAAGTTCAACTCCTTCAGTTTACAGGTGAAGAAACTAAGGCCCCGAGAGGTTAAGCGATTTGCTCAAGTCCACACAGTAAGTTGGAGATGGAGTCAGGACTAGAACCCAGTTCTAGGGGCCCGGTCATCATTGTCCCGTGTTGTCAGCTCTACGCATCTGTCTTGCAACTCGCTGTCTCCACAGCCCTCCGCAGAGCGCCCAGCACAGAGAGGTCAATCAGGAAATATCTGCTGAATGAATGAATGAACAAATGGTGGCCCAAGTACCCCAGGCCTCTGAAGGAGGAGAAGGGGCGCCAGAGGCTCACATTTGTTGAGCCCCTGTGAGATGCACAGCTCTTTGGCGTAGACCACTTCCATTTTGCAATCAATACATCTCAGCTGGAGAGATACATTGCTGGTGATGTACATGGCCGTGTTACTTCATGCCAGCATGCTGGTACGGCATGTGACTTAGGGAAGGTCACAGCCCGTGTGCAGCGCAGGGGTGAGACAAGTAGGGTCTTCCCTTCTCAGGGCCCCAGGGAGAACCAGTGGGGCGCTCTGGCTGGCCGGAGATAACTTCCCGTATCTCTTCCCAACTCCGTGTTCAGTGATGTCACATAGGGACCTTGAAGTTGGTCCTGATGATACTATATCCAACATGGAAAATGAGGGGACATTACAAATGAGGGCTTTTGTCTTTCTCTGCCTTTTTGGGAGTGGGCTTACCAGCACACCAGTGGAAGCAACTAACGCTAAATAAAGAACGAGGCTGGTTTACCTCTCCCGACTGGGACTGCTCCTACACCCAAGTTAGCACTTATATTTCGTCCTGTGTAGGCTAGCTCTGCCTCACCATGCAGACTGTGACCTCCTTAAGGCTGAAAGTCAAGGCTTAAGTTAAAAAAAAAGAATTATCTCCGTGTTGACTCAGGCAGCGCCGGGAACAACAAAAAATGGTATTTGATACCTACTTATTGATGAACCAGTGGACACTGGAATTTGGTAGACTGGTTGACCAGTAGGATTAGTCAGTAACTAAGTGGCTCTGGGTCCTGGGGGAGGGATTTAAAAGGACTGAGGCCACCCATTCTCCCAGCCCCTGGCCTCCAGCAGATCACTTGTTTGCAGGCTAATCTCACAACAGCACCTCTTTTCTTGTCGTTCATGGACAAGACCCGTCCTACATCTGTGCGTAATGGTCTTGGCATATGCACTTAAGATTGGGATCTCAAGCCCAGTGTAGAGAAAGGGGCAGGGATCCCACACCAAAATCATATCTAGCCAGAGTG